AAAAATAGAGAACTTCAGAAAGCCAATGAGTTTTCATGAGTACTTCCAGCAGATTGCTCGCGCATTTGTAGATTTTGTTCCTAGAACCTTGTATTTTTCAAGGGGGGATACACACTTTTTATTCATGCTGTTAGTGCTGTATTATCAATTACAACTGCTGCTTAATCGGATGATTCACAATGGAACCTGCACCGTCTCTCTCCAGTCGTTCTCTGTTTACTGATCTGGCTTCCCCCCCAAACTAGCGATCACACTAAACAAAATAAGAAATTGCAAAAAGTGAGAAAGCACTTTCATTTTTAAGAAAATGTAATTTCAATTGATCCCCACTTCTCTTTCTTGGAACCTTGGCTTGAAGGTAACACATCATAAATATTATTTTCATGAGCATAATTGGTTGTCGCTTTTGTGTTGGATTGAAATGTATTAGTTGAGGGGAGCTATCCTCCACAATGGCTTAATTTTGAGATCTGCAGGCTCCCCTATTGGAAGTTAGAGCTGAAATACAGATGCAGCAATTCTGAGAAACAAATGAAAGCTGTCACTAGTGTCACAGCAAAAACTGAGGGTCCATCCCACACAAATTATGGACATCTGTATTCCTAATTGGCATCCTTTTGGACTGTGCCAGCAGAATGGCAGTGCCAAGAGGGTCTGACAGCTTTAGAAAAGAGTAGGTATCAGGTTTAGGGGATAGAAGGCACTGATGAGGCGTGGAAGCTCTTGTGTACAGAATACTCCCCATGTGTTTGTTACAGTACCGATGAGTTTAATTTCGGGTACCTTCCATGGCACCTTTTGTCAATACTAAGCTTGCTACTTCTAAAACAGACCCGTTTATGGTATTGATGGCTATATGATTACAAGATGGTTGGCAAAGATGCATACAAATAGTTAACAAGGTAATGGTAAGAAATGTTGACCTTGATTTGTTTGGCTAAGATGTAAAGATTTTTGAAGGTCAAAGGTGTCCTTGTGTAGTGTTTTGGAGTCTAACTGTGTCTGACCCTCTAACATTAAGCTGCTGTGGCCTGCAGTTTTGAAGAGTGAAGCAAACCAGGGGGAAAGAAAGAAGGGGGAGAGAACAGGAAATGGAGTGAGGTGTTTCAGGAAGTTGTCAGGGGTTGACTGATTGATTCCAGATGGAAAAGGTCAGCCTTTGTGACCCAGGAAATACTCACTAGGGGAAAGAAGTTGGCTTGTGGAAGGGGAAGGCCTGGGAGTGAGACGATGCTGGAATGCACATTCCGCTTCCTTTAGTCTTCAAACATTCAGAAACTTTAACTTTTCTGAATAGAATAATATCAGTGTTGTCATCATTCATCAGAAAACAGTGAAGGAAGTTAAATTCGAAACTTTGAGTGCACCAGATGTATCTTTACCTCTATAATGTAGTTTGAAGTAGACTATGGAAGTAGAGTACATATATGTGAAAATCAACATTTGTGTGTGTGTCAGTGTGGAGAACACTGAGTTCATGTGCTGAAGGTTATGAATTAAATCCTTTACATTTTGCAAATTCAGTTTGATTAGCAAATTCTTTTAGATGTTTCCCAAGTTAAGATACCTGAAATATTAAAAACTGGAACTTTTCTGTGTGTCTCTCATATGTATATATATGTATATATATATGTATACATGCACATACATTTGGACGTAATTTAAAATCTTGTAATAAATTTTGCAGACACTGAAATAATTCAGGTTAATTCCCTTGCTGTCATGAGAGGCCAGTGCTTGCCAGCAAAAGATTAAAATTTATTTCCATTGTTAATAGAAAATAATGAAGTGCATCTGAACCATCAGGGTATGTCATTCGGGAAATGTTCACTTTGGAACTCAGTCTTACTCCACCCAAATGGACAATGATGAAATCAGCTGGCTGGAGAAAACCCCGGATTTTGTGGCAGGAATGCATGAGGAGCATAAAAGTACAGTATGACAAGAAGTTTGTGAAATGAATTAAAGTGGTCTTAGAGTGCTCTCTGCATCCACGTAATCCTCCGAGGGGTCAGGGTTCCCCACTATCGTTCATCAGCAATTAAAGCCTGAAGTTCCCACTCTTGTTTTGTTTTATATTTTTTTTCCCCTAGAGATGACAGTCACGTCTTTGAAAATCCACACACGCGGTTTTATAAAAGTGGTTCATTCATCATTTTTTTCTGTTGTCTGATATTTTTGGAGGATACACATGTGCAGAGGTGAACACTTCCAACCTCCACCTTCTCCCTAACCCTGTTACCAGGAAACTCAGCCAGTATCTCGCTTTGACTATGACGCCATCTTGTGCTTGCTGAGATCACCCTGATAAGAACTTGTGCCTGTGTGCACTTGAGGAGAGTATTGGAGGTTTTTGTCTTGTGGTGGCCACCACAAAAGGGGAACTTTCTGGAAGGACTTTCCCCAGACTCTGAAATGTTTACAAGGACACAGTTGAAAAACCCCTCCAAGCTAGACAGGCTGCACCCTTAAATGATGAGCAGTTATATTGATGGTGATTTCCTGAACAATAGCTGAGGCTCCTTTAAGTTCATTCTGATATCATAAAGAGTTGGTGATGGAGAACTACACACCTGCCCATGTAATGAAGTCACAAGTGAGGAACTGAAGTACGGGGGAGACAGGAAGCCCGTGTGAACACAATCTTCTGTTGTTTTTGAATTCCCAGACCCTGACATGATATGTAGCATGCAGCAGTTGTTCAGTGGATGTTGTTGAGTTGAATGCTTGAAACTCATTTGTGTCCATGTAAAATTGCCCATATACTACTGGCATGACGATGGCGCCAGACTAGGTGAAATGCTTTGTGGAATCATGGTTTTAGGGATTCTTCCAAATCTAGTACATTAACAATATACAACAAATTTTAAAAGATGCCATCAAAAACAAAGAAATAGTTCCTCTAATAGATGGGGGGGCTGCAATTGTATGGGGAATATAACAATAAAATTTATTATTTAAAAAAAAATAAAATAAAACTCTTACTTAAGGTTAAAAAAAATTTTAGCCCTACCCACTGCCTTGGTGTGGCAGTTGGGGCTGGGCTGGGTTGGCTGAGAATCAACACATGATAACTTCCTGGGAGAAAGCAAGGCTCTGTATCACGATAAGGTATGGACTGCCTGGGTGCATCAATTTGTCCAAATTGTGCATTTGCTTTATGCACAATTATGCTTTTCAATGAATGTACACTTCACAAACCCCCACAACCTTCAATACTACCACTGAACAGGTTGTGGGGATTGGTTGGTTGTATATATGAAATGAAAAAGGCAATATTTTGTGAAATCTTGAAACTGGATGATGACTACCTGGAGATTCACTCTGCTAATCTCTGTTTGCTTGAAATTATTTATAATAAAATAATTTTTAATGCCATTTCATGAATCTAAGGCAAGGACACCATTCCTCCCCTTAAATCATTTAATAAATAAAGAAGGACCAATAGAAAAATTAGAGGTAGAATTTTGGTAAATTTAATTTGGGGGTAGACAGAAAGAGTCTTTTTTTTTAAGTGAGGCAAGCTTTATGACAGTATATAAGTTTTAGGTGTACAACATTATAATTCAACATCTGTATACACTACAATGTGATCACCACCTAAAGTTTACTTTCTGTTTTTAAAATTATCATTTTTAAACATAGCTCTGTATCCTGTGCGTGCTCAGTGCTATCCTCAAGAGGTATATATATATATATATATATATATATATATATATGTTCCTCTCTCATAAAAAAAAATTGCCATGCATAGCTGAGAAGCAGATTCATATCTGGGATGACCCCTCTTCCTGGGTCAAGAACGTTGGTGGGTTGGCTCAAGTCCACTTTCTTCTGTTACGCTTTCCCGACTGCTCCTGCCTTGGCTGGTCTCTGCCTCCTTGAACTTCTCCCCCACCCCTGATCTGCCACCCACACAGATAACTCAGTCTGATCGCATTCAGTGTGCAACTTGTTTCATGTGTTAGCTGTGTTTTCCAGTCTCCAAGTAAGCTCTTGGAGGGTGGGGGACCATGCTTTGTAACTTTGATACCCATCCTCTGGGTCCTCCTTGTAGAGGCTCCCCCAGAACTGAGACTATGTGCGGTGCTCGATGAGAAAGGTCATCTATTCTATTGACTGGTCAAAAAAGACTGGGGGAGACAAGTAGAGCCCAGACTTCTCCCAATTTGGCACATGCCCAGCCCTGCACAAATGCTTTAACATGTATCATCTCAGCTTTTACTTATTTTATCATATTTAGCCCTTCAAGATAGGCATTGTTGTGGATGTGATACAGCTGAGAAAAATGGAGATCAAAAGATTAATTCAAGTTCACACTGTAGGAAGCAACAGATGTGGGAGTTGAGTTCAGTTCTGACTAAATTCCTGCTCTCCCCCTATTCCACACCCCTCTTTTCCTTTTCCTCTGGTTAGATACTAAGTGTCCTGCGTTTCAACACTGAATTCCAGCAACCTTATCTCCTCACCGTCAGTCTGAGTGTCCCTGCCACTGCTCCCTCTAGTCCACGGGAACAAGCCTGTGCCCAGCATTACATCAGTACACATCACAAGTGCAGCGTCCACTCCAGCCTTGGAGAAGTGACCGCCCAGCTGGAGTTTGAATAGACCTTACCTTCCTGGTCACACACAATCGGCTCCTTGTGGTCCCTACAGCTCAAGGGTCAGCTGGGAACGATGTCCAAGTCCTAGAGAGGAGACTAGATTTCTGGAACTAACTGGCAGGTGGCCAGTTTCCCTACTTAGTCACCTGCGCATAGTTTGAACACAAATAGGTGACAACACATGGGCAAAGCGGGGCCTCTTTTTTTCTTGAGTCTCTGCCATCATTCCAGGAGGAAGATAACCTGTTGAGATGCCAAGAGCATGGCCCTGTCCCAAAGTTCTGCTCTGCCTCTCATTAGCCATATGGAAGTCTGGCAAAAGAGAATTCTGGTGCATTTACTACTTCCTGTGATGCTAGCTACACCACTCTCTGTCTTTTTACTTTAAATATGCAGGTTGTGTTGTCAACAACAGTGAATGTGGATGGACATGTGCTGGCTGTTTCTGACAACATGTTTGTTCATAACAACTCCAAGCATGGACGGAGAGCCAGAAGACTGGACCCATCCGAAGGTAGGTCTGTCTGCCGTCTGGGCTGAGAAGGGCAGACAAATGAAGTTCTCCATGGATCTCCTTGTTTGGATCTCAAATTTATGCTTCTGAGTAGGAGTGGAGAAAGTACACAAAACCGTGTGGGTTTGAAAATGAAGGTGTAAACACCGACCGCGCCTTCACTGCCGCAGCCCCACACACCTCCCGGCCAAGGCCCAGCCCCTGTGCTTCCAGTCACTTCCATACCATTCTGTGTTTTTCCTTTTTGCTACATGGGCATTTCAGGCAAATGTAGTCTTATGACATCTTAGTTAAACAGGAACATTACAGTGCCAGACATGTATGAATAAGTGTCAGCTGTGCCCTTAAACAGATTGTAGGCAAAACAAAACAATGTGCAGAATGAAACTGACACTAATTGATTTTTGTTTGCTTGGACAAGAAGAGATCGTGGTCTGTTCTGGGTAGTTTTCCAAGTGCATTAAAGTAATTAGAAATACTGGTAACTGTTAAACTTCAAGTTGTCCAAAAAATTAAAGTCTATTGAGGAAGATAACTGACAAACCGAAGTACTTTCCATCTAACTTCTTCTCCTTCCTTCCACACTGCTCAACTCACTGGTGTAGGAAGACCCTGAAATATAAAATGAATGACTAAACCGGTGACTAAGTTAGTGTGATTTTTGCTGCGTTCTGCCCACCTGCCCCTACCCCAATTTGGCCCTTAAAATGTGTCCTGTATCATTTTAAATAGGAATTAATGAACTGAAAGAATATGATTGAATCAGTAAAGAATTTGGAGTGGTGTTAATTCTCCCACAGTGGACATGGAAAGGGGAGAAGAAAATCCCAGGGTTCAGAACGAGGAACCCATCCAGTTTCTCTTGACTGATTGGATGTGATTGACCGGCTGTTCAAAGGGGGCTCATGTTTTTGGAGTCCTGCCAAAGTTCTCCTCCACCTTTGACCCTGTCAACTTTGGAAATGGAGTGATGGATTGACTTTAGTTATGGCCTGAAAACCATATTGGGTTCCTGTTGGGATGTAAAGTCCAGAGGCCTCGAACATATGGAAGAAGGAGGGAAAATCCTTCCTACAAAGTTAGGAAAGTGACTCAAAATTGTCTCTTGACAATTTTGTCTTTTATCAATTTGTCTTTTATCCAACTGAAAAACACCTTCTACCATGAGAGATTTTGCTTTCTCTTTCTTTTTCTCTAGTACATTAACAGGCCTTGTAAATCTTGACATCTTGGGGCAGAGGAGGTGGGGAGAGAAAAGGGATTTACACATTTTTCAGTGTGATCAACTTATAAAAATATGGGAAAAAACAACAGTTTTAAAAACACCCTTTGCACAATTAGCTAAGTGTTCCACTTTTTCATGCATAGTGGTCAACTCATTAGGCTTTATGACCTGGTGAAAACCAACAACCAATTAGGGAATGATGGCAAGTCAGCAACACTCAACTTGAACTTCTCAGAATGACCAACAGCTTTCCAAGGCATCCCACTCCCCAAAACTCCAGACTTCAGCCACCAAAGGGCAGACCTGACTCGCTCTTTCGTATCTTTTCAGCTACCCCCTGCATCAAAGCCATCAGCCCAAGCGAAGGCTGGACCACAGGAGGAGCCATGGTCATCATCATCGGAGACAACTTTTTTGATGGCCTCCAAGTGGTGTTTGGGACTATGCTTGTGTGGAGCGAGGTAGGCAAAAGCTGCTTGTTTCTCCATCTTTGGTCCAAAGATTGTTTTGATTTGGGGAAACCGGTTATTCCTGCAGCAGGAGCATGAACACATCCTACTGAGTATGTACAATGAGCAGAGCACTGAGGATTAAAAGAGGTAGAAGTGTTACCTTATTGCAGGCATGACCCTGTTAAAAAAACAGATATTCATTTCAGTATTATTTATCATTGTGAAAAATTTGACAAAGCCTAGATATTGGAAAATAGAATAATGATTAACTAAATGATGAAATATTGTTAAGTTGTTAAAAGTATGTTTTGGAAAAATTTTAATAAGGAGCATGCTTATACTACAATGATAAGAGAAAAAATAAATCGGAATGGCAGTGTCTACAGATATAAAGTCTAATTATATAACATAACTCCATAGAAAAGTACTGGAAACACCGAAGATTCATAGCAGTTGGCTTTGGGTTATGCAACATTATTATTTTCCTGTAATTTCTAAATTTTCTAAAGAAGATATGTTCCAATTTCATAATGAGAAAAACAACAGAATATGTTCCAAAAAGATAAATAACAGTACTAAGTTGGGTATGGAAATTGCCAAATTGATATGCGAGAGTGTAGCTGTGTAGGAGCTGAGGGGATGGTAGAGGTGGGGTGAGGTGGGCGCAGGGGGTGGGAGAGACGTGAACTGGGCTGGTAGGAAGGAAAGGACAGAGAACTGTGTAGACCCCCACGAGTGCTCCGGTCCGCCCCACCTCCCCAGGGAGTATCAGTGGGAGATGTGCGTGTCCTCAGTATCTTCTGTGATAACGTGTGAAATAGGTATCTTATTTCCCTGCCTGTTCATTCCTCAGCTAATCACCCCTCATGCCATCAGAGTGCAGACTCCTCCTCGGCACATCCCTGGAGTCGTGGAAGTGACATTATCTTATAAATCCAAACAGTTCTGCAAAGGTGCTCCGGGGAGGTTCATTTACACAGGTGGGTGAGAAAATGATACCAAACGTCACTAGCTTCTGGCTTCCCATTGCTGTAGTTCCCACTTGCTCCACTTTATAATCTTTCTAATTTTTCTAGGTCTTTTTACCAGTGTAGGGAAAAAAGCCTGGGTAGTAGGCATCGAAGGGAAAAGTGTAGCTCAATTCAAAATTTCTGTTTTACTTGAGCAACTTCTGCATGGTCTGGGAGATGACTGTGGATTCTGTTATAATGCTTTTATCCAAGCAATCAGATGTAAAATTATACCAAGTAGCTGGCTCTAACCAAACTGTCTTGAAAAGCCTTCAGAAATGTTGCTCATTGATGCAGCAGAGTGATTCAAATTATTTTTAAATTTTATGAAAGTAGAAATCATCTATTGGTTCAACATTTGTTGAATACTTACTTAGTATCTACTGCTCAGTGGAAGGTACAGGTGAGTTGTAAGACATGGTCCCTACTTGGAAGTTTAGAAGCTTTGGGGTGGGGGGAGGGGAGGAAGTGGTATTTTGCACTGGAGAATTAATTAGTAAATTTAAAAAATATTTGAATTTTCCAGTGAATAGAACACAGGTTTCAGGAGGAAAGTTAAGCATGGACTAGATGGTGAGATGGGGCTTCCAGCAGGAAATAGAAGCTGCTGACAATTTTAAGGAGGGGGAGGAGTTGGAGAGTCAAAGAGAAGAAGGATGTTCCAGTTACGGAAATGTCATGTGCGAGGCCTCAGAGAGTGAGGTGAGCGTGTTCCCAGAAGAGGAGGGATTGGCAGTGCATGTGGGTGGAGTTCTGACCATAACCCAGCCTACCAGATGAGCCGGGCACAGGGAAGGGATCGTAAAACAGCTTGAAAGTGCTGTCTGGTCACGAGGGTAGCCAAATTCATAGAGACAAAGTTGAATGGTACCAGGGCTTGGCGAGAGGAGGAATGGGAGCTGTTTAATGGGTGTAGAGTTTCAGTTTTGCAAGATGAAAAGAGTCCTGGAGGTGGTTTGTATAACTATGTGAAATGGACTTAACGCTGCTGAGCTGTGCGCTTAAAAATGGTTTAAGATGCTAAGTTTTGTCATGTGTCTTTTACCACACTTTTTACAATTGAACAAAGAAAGTCTTGTATGGGCGTTTGGACTTGATCTGACATCTCTCTGCCAGGGAGAGAAACTCGAAGGTGTTATCTTAGGAAAACCAGAGTTAGGGGAACAACTGAGGGCATGATTCAACTAGGATATCATATTTTTCAATATATCTGTATCTCGCTACATATGTCAATAAAGTGCTACAAATTTCTATTACTGTCATCCTATACTATATCCTCTCATTTGGATTCAGCATCCTATGCTTGTTTAAGTATAGATGGTTAGTTAGATATTAGTTAGGAATAGATGGAAAAAAGGTAATTTTTTGGTATATTTATTTAGAATTTCATGTTTTGAAATTTCTTTGATGAGATATGTAATATCATTATGCTTCTAACAGCTTATAGTTCTAGCAGGGGAGCTAGATACTTACAGATTACAGTAATTGGATTGAATCCTATAAGAGAGGTATAAGCAAAAAGGGTTGTAGGAACACTGTGCTAAGAGTGTCTGACTTTGGAGAATCACTGAGGGCTTCCCATAGGAGGTGACAAAAGAGTGACCTTTCAAAAGTAAAGTAGGAACTTGTTAGACTAAACAGAGGAGGCATTGGTCCACAGTGGGAAACACAGAGGCTGGCACAAGAGTCCACAAAACTGTGAAATAATAGATGCTATGTTAGATGTAAATTCAGGAGAGAATTTTGAGATAACAAGATATTGAGGCTCACCGGGTCAGGCACCTTCTTTGGCAGATGAAAAAACTGACACTCAGGGAGAAATTATTTGCTCACAATTGCCTATTGAATTAAAGGGGAAGTCAGAACAAGAACTCAAAATGTCTGGCCCTCCCACTTGATGCCTCTTATTTAGCTATGTAGTGTTGGTCAATAGCTGTTTTCTTGATGTGCTTAGACATTACTGACTTCTTCATGAAGCAAATGTTGATGGAACACAGCCAGTGCTTATCACTCTGCTCTGTGCTGGGGACATGGAGCGCAAAACAGCCTGATGGGATTCTTCCTCCTTGACCTTCAGGTGTAGTGATGTAAAGCTGAAATGTTCTTGCTCCAGAGTCAGATTGCCTGAACTCACAGCTTGACCTGCCACTAAGTAGCTCTTACATCTTTAGCAAGTGACTTAATTTCTTAGCTTCCCCATCTATAAAATGTGCTACCTACCTCAGAGCTGTGGTGAGAACTGAATATTAGAGTGTATGATAACTGTGGTATGCTGGTAAAGGTTTAACAACAGACTCTCCAGGGAAAACTGGGGTAGGGACAGGGGCCAGGACAGTACTGGTTTGTAGCATTTACTGATTTCCATGGTGCAAATACTCTTGCTATGGCTGATTGCAAACTATCAATATCACATCAACCAGCTCACAAAATTTCTGAAAACTTTATAAACTTGCTCTCATGAAATGGTCTAAGCCAGGTCTAGAACACCTGTGCATGTAACACATTTGGAATAGAGAGTGACTGTATTTTAGCATTTCAAAACTGTTTATTATTGATATTCTTATGGTTACTATTAGTGTTGTTATTATAGAGACTAATTTGTACAAGAATTACAAATGTGACGAGCACTAAATAGAACTTATATAGGATACTGTTGATATATGCCAAGTGAATCAGACTTTCTTAATCTAAGGTGATAGGAAAGACTAAGAACAGGTCAAACAGAAGAAATAGCATGTGCAAAGGCCCTGGGGTGGAAAAGAAAAACATGGGATATATTTGGTGGCTATTATGAACAGGGCAGAAAGAATAGCTATAGAGAGGCTGGATTCAAGCTGGGAGGGCGGATTGGACCCAGGGTATGTCAAGTCCTGTTTTGAGGGCTCTACCTCAAGTACTATGGAGGCTATTGGTATATTTTTCAGCCGGGGAATGCTGGGATCTGTCTTAAAAGGTCATTCTGGTTTCAGTAGAAAGAATGATTTGGAAGCCAGGGTGGATTCAGGGAGGTCATTTGCAGGCCAGTGTTGTGACCCAGGCCAGAAATGATGGCAGCATAGACCAGAGTCTTGGTAGTGGGGACAGGCAGAAGTGGATGAAATTTAGGAGGTAGCATTGACGGGACTTGATGATTGATTAGATAGGGTGAAAGTTGGGGAGAGAAGGGGAGGGGGTGACTCTCAGGTTTCAAGTTTGAAAAATTGGGTGGGTATAGTTTGGAAAGTGATTTTTAAAAAGGTATAAAGTGCTAAGGGAGTTCAGAGGAAGGACAAAATACTTCCAGCTGGCGGAGAGGTGGGAAGATTTAATATTGTAAAGATGTCAATTAATGAAGAAATTTAACACAATGCCAATCAAAGTACCAACAAAATGTTTGGGGAAACATTATAAATACTCACCTGAAAAAGAGAAAAACAGGACCTTTAATTTTGAAAAACGACAGGGCCTCGCCCTACCAGACATTAAGACCTACTTTAAGTTTCAGTAATTAAAAGAATATGGGACTTTGTAGGAACATGTAGAAATGTCATGCAGCAGAAGAGAAAATTTACAAATGAGCAGGTTTTGTACAGATGAAGAATAAATGCATAAGTGTTTGTATAGGGGAGGACCATCTCACGTTAATGTGGAAAAGTAGAATATTTAACAAATGATATTGGGTCGACTAATTAAGCATCAAAAAAGGGTGAAATTTCTAACTTGACATCATAAACTGAAACATATTTATTAAATATTTTAATTAAAAATGTAGTTATTTGAAGAAGCTTTATATATAAAAAATTATGATCATCTTGAGGCTTGCTAGTTTCAACACCAAAAACAGAAACCAGCAAGCAAAATATGTGAAAACATCATAAGAGGAAAATTTTTACACCTCAAAATGCCAGTCATTAAATCAAAAAGAAAATGATAAACTGCAACGTATTTGTTATAGATGGCATTCTATCTTACATATAAAAGAATTCATCCATTTGATCAGCAAAAGTTTGTCACGCCCAGTGTTTGTCTCCTACTATGTATGTATTGTGGATAAAGAGGGGAATGTTAGATATCTTACAAATAATGGAGGGAAAAAAATCTAGCAAGAAGTATCAGGAGTTAATTCAGGAAGGAATACAGTTAAATAATAAACATATTTTTAAAAATCCCAACTACATTAATAGTCAAATAAATGCAAATTAAGGCAAGCACAGTATAACACTTTTTCCCTGTCAAGTATGCAAAGATTTTTTTTTTAAGCCAATGAAAATACCCAAGTTGTCAAAATTAGAAGAGTAGGGACTTCCTGTAGAATGGAGGGGGAGAGGAGAGAGGCTCTGGAGAACACCTTAGCTGAGACAGTGGACCTGCCCTTCGACACAGTAATTCTTGGAATGTATACTTCGGGAATAATTGAGTTTGCCTTAAGGCTGTTCATTGGAGCTGTTTATAGAAATGAAAATATCCTTAGTGTCTATTAGGGGACTCATTAAATAAATAATGGAACATCCTGAAACTGAAACACTTTTAAGACTTTAAAAGTGATACAGCGGACATATATTTAGTCACAAATATCTGTGATACAGGGGTGTGTGTGTGTATATTCTCATATATATATACATGAATAGTTGTGTGAAAAAAACTCAAGTAAGGTATGAAGCCAGTGTACCCATGTATTACATAGTGGTTTCTGGGTGTTGATATAATTATCTTAATTCTCAAATTTTGCTTACAAATATTTTCTCATCTGCTATCTTCTAATATACAATATTTTGAATTTGTATGTTTTCTGTTATCATTTCCTAATGCATATTTTTAATTAAAAGTTAGAAGAAAATAAGATATACCCACAATAATATCATACATGTTTTAATACTGAAATAGCACACATTAGTAATCTAAACTCTTCAGGCACAGAGAAACGGCTTCTGGTTAGGAAAGCAGTGAAACTTCTAGAAAACTGCCTTTGAGAAGAAAGAGCCTTGGAGACC